TCACCCAATCCTCTAAGCTTCAGTGCTTGGACATTCAAGCCACCTGGGAGGACCAGGAATAGCGCCACCTCGTGAATTAATAATGCGGCTTCACGACCCAGCTCTGCCTTCTTTCTCCGAACCCCGGCCAACTCCAAGCTAACACCTTGTGAAATCAGAGAAGATGAGAAACTGAGAGGGGGCAGGCCAGCCTGCTGGTCAGTAGGGCAATTCCTCGAGAATGTGACGTGCACTGTCTACCAAAAGGATCCAGAATCAAGTGGAAAGTCACGCCCCAGATGGATGTTAGAATGTATTTATTGCTACATTTATATACAATTATACAAACAGCCAGGGCAGGAGGGGGATGGTGCTGCAATTTCTCCAGGTTCCACGGACGTGGGCCAGTAAACAGAGCCACAGACCACTGAGTGTGCTCTCAGCCTGAAGCCAAAAAGAATCACACACATTTTATTAAAAAGTGGAAAGTTCTTGGAAATTCTCTCCATATATCCTTCCTGACAAGCTAGTCATGCAGAAAAAAAGTGAGTTCTCGGAAGCTCATGCCTTCAGGCATCTGTTGAGGGGATGCTGCCTCGAAGACAGGATGCAGTTAGGGTGCTGGCTGGGGGCCGCCGGGGGCAGTGCGCGATTCCACGTCCTGGCCCATCTCTCAGGACTGTCCTGGGAAAGGCAACCAAGAGGGGTGGGGAGAGAGACAGAACAGCAAGAAAGGGAAAACCAACGGTAAAGTGAGACGTGGAAAGAACCACCACCAAGAGCCGTGGTTCACGGAACACTCGTCCATCGGGTTCCAGCTGAGGTTCTGGACTTTGGGGGATACAGACATTCAGGACATCCGAAAGCTCGCCATTTGTCCACTGCCAGGGACCTGCGTGAAGACACAAAGTGAACAGGAAAAGTTAGGCGTGAAAGAAGAAAAGTGAACTTTAAATATTATCATCTCCGGGTTGACAAGGGCATGACCCTGAACACCTTTCCAGTAACATGCAGCCGAGACTGAGTTGACTGTTGGGCTGTGAAGGGGGTGGAGGGCCTTCCAGGGGCACCAAAACAAAGATGGGTCCACAGACTGCGTGCTCTGACCTCAGCCCGGCCAGAATCAAGGGCGGCTCACACAGTGGCTCTCGCAACGTTCAGACCCAGAATTCGGATGCGGACGTAGGACCATGGTATAAACGTCCTCCCTTTCATGTCACAACTGTATAAACCTTAGTGATGTGACTCACAAGAGGAGTAGCTGAGCCCCTCCGTGGGGAGCAGGTGTGCCCGAGGGATTAACCGCCTGATTTACCCCAGCTGTCTTACCCCCTCAGGCCGCCTCCCCCACCCAGGGTCCAGGAGAGAAGGTCTTGGGATCACGAACACGGCCTCCTAAGTGACAATCAGCCTTGCACCTGGGAGAAGTGACAAGGCCTGAAGGCTGAGACCAAGAAGCCTGTGATTCTGAGGACACAGATGACCAAGGGCCTTTGGGGTTGATCAGTAATTTGGATGCAGCCTGGCGCTGAGGCTGAAGGGCGCTCTGCCCCTGAAGACACCAGCCAGCTGAGGTTCCTCCACGACTACCCAGCACCTCCAGTTCCTCGCCGCCACGACCCCACAGACCCGCCCAGCCACAAGGAAGGCAGGATGAGAGGTCTGATGGAGAAACCCTCAGTCCAGTGGGAGGATGACCAGAAAACCTGTCAGAAGTCCCTGTCTTCTTTCTTGGGTCAGTAACGCTATAATCAACTAAGGAGGGGCCCCGCCATGCTTCTGAGGCTGCCAACTATGTGACATTTCAAGCTGAAGGATGTGGCGATTACTGACTCCCTTGATCCTTTAATAACCTCATTTCTCGACAATTCACAATCACTGTCATTTGATCCTGACTTTCCTGGCAAGTCATGCAGAAACTTTCTGTTCATGCTTCTGACAACAACAGCACAGAGTCAAACACACACAAAGGATTTGCTCGAAAAAAGCAAAACCATTAATGGGTGAAAATCAGTGAGGAAAAGTTGCGAAACATCAGGCACATTTCAACTGGAGGGATTTTACCAATCGGCAAACAAAATGGAAAGAGTTACCTAAATGCCTGTGTTGGAAGAAATGGTTTAAGGATGAAGCGCTGAGAAGACATTGTTCGTGGCAATCGATCGTTAAGGACATGTTTTAACCACGGGTTTTAGCTCAGATCTCAGGAATAAGACTAGCTGGATCCTATGGATTCGCAAACAGCTCCACCCCTTTCAAAACGAGTGAAACAAATGGTGATGGAAGTGTCACAAGCCCTTCAAGTGGATTTTGAAACAATGAAAATATTTCGATGATGTCATGGAATGTCAGAGATTCTTGCTTGACCTTCAGCTCATTTCAGAGCAATCCAAAAGTCAGGGCCAAAGGAGCAAATTGTTTCTAAGACCTCCCCAGCTGAAGTGAACATATATCGCTCTTTTTTATGTCACATGAAAAAAAGCTAAAAAAAATTATACTGTTATAAGAGACATTTATTCCGCATCTTAAACTGTTATCTTGAATATACTCACATACAGCTGGGGTTTGGCTTACAGAACTTTGAGAGGCTTAATCAGCAAGTAGGGGCAGCACAAATGCGTCACTCACAGTCTGCAAGATAAACTGCATGGCTGTGGTTTTACTTAGAAATGGGATGGGTCAAAAATAAATCAAATTATTTTATTTGATTTGATTTTTTACTGTTCTTTTCCCTTTTTCAGTTTTATTATGTAGAATTATTACAGTTCGACTGCACATACACATTATATTGCATGTAAATACATACATACAGTATACTGTGCATTTAAAAATAAATTGAATAATTTTAAAACAACCTCTTGTCATGGTAAACATGTTGATCAGTGGTTTTGACAGGTTTCCAAACTGAGATCAATGCATAATACTCACCTGGCTTACAAGCCCGTCCTGCAAATCTTCTACTCAATATAGATGTATGGCACTTCATTCTTGAGTATATCTGAACTTTTTTTTTTAATAAGAAAAACCCTTGCAGCAGCACACAGGCGGCATGTGTGTGAGTGTGTGCTCTAATACTCACTCCACGTCAAGAGTGGAGTTTGACAAAGTAGTGTGTCCGATCAGCTCACCAAGATTATGGGTAAAAATCTCATTTTAATAAACTCTATCTGATCTCAAAATTATTACATTGGAGGAAGATGTTCTTGATTAGCAAAGAGCCAAAGGGATGCCACAAGTGAGAAGGGACACTGCGAGGGTGGGTGTAGGTGCTGTAATCGGGTGGGTGCCCTGGGCCAGCTCTTTTGACTGGTGGTTCACTAGATTGAAGGCTCTAGAATGTGGATAACAGAGTCAGGTTCTTATTGGGTCCTGCCAGCATCCTGGACGTGGAGACAGTGAGGCAGGTCTAAAGGGAAGGCGGGCTGGCCCCGGCCACCCGACTGCCAGCTGTACTTACCCCGTGAGGGAGGGAGCCTTCTTGCTAACGGTTACATTTGCTTTATACTGCTTTGGCAAGAACGCATCTGGAACAATGCATACAGTTTGGGTCCCCACCTTTCAAAAGAGACAGCAAAAGGTTAGAAAGCACTTAGCCAGTGACCACAGAAGGAAGTAAACAGTACAGAATTCCAGAAACACCCTCGTCACCCCGGATTACACAGAGCCCTCTGGGGAACCAAACTGCCAGAGTGATCGCCAACCTGATCTTCAACCTCTTAACTTTTCTTTTTCAATCACTTTTGAATCTCCACTCTTACAATGTGGAAATAAGAATAACTTTGTATAGCACAGGGAAACATAGTCAAGATCTTGTAGTAGCTCATGGTGAAAAAGAAGATGAAAATGAATATATGTATGTTCATGTATGACCGAAAAATTGTGCTGTACACCAGAAATCAACACAACATTGTAAACTGACTATAACTCAATAAAAATAAAAAATAAATTAAAAAAAAGAATAACTTTAAATCTCCCTTTTAAGGAGATGATCGCATTCCAATTGTTGTGGCAAATGCACAAACTAACCAGTTTCACAAGGAGACTAATGGATCTCTAAGCCGTACCCATCAAAGCCTTTTCAGTATTAGAGTAACTCTGAAGATCAGATTCTATAGTTTATCTGAGGTTCTCTCTTGATTCAGCTAGGCACTGTTAAGATATCATTCAGGCACCGACCAGACTTCGGTACCCAGTATGCTTTGTGGTGCCTGCTTTGAAATTAACACTTGTTATCTTGGAATAAGCGAAGGCTCAATACACTATACCTGCCTCGTGAAAGACGGGGGTAGGGGGCGGTGAGAGGCGAACAAATAAGCAATAAAAACTACCTTCCTTGCAGCCACGTTCGCAGTGTAGTGGTGAAAGGGAGAGACTTCAGCCCTGCTTTCTCTGCTCTGTCTTCTTCAGCGGACTCCCTGCTAATTCTCAGAATCAGCCCTTAGAAGACACCCAAGACCAAGGCGCAGTGAACTCTAAACTGCTAACCCAGCAAAGCTTATCCACGTGTCAGCTCTCTGACCCGGGACAGCGTTGTTTACTATGCTCGATGGTTAAGCAATTGGAAACATAGTTACTGGTCATCCCTATCTTATAAATGGGTTATAAATCACAAAGGCATTTGTGGTGGGCTGTTCTCCATGGAAACTGTGTTTAGATGGTTAGTTCAGTTTCCAAGCAGTTTAACCCACCATGAAAAACGGAGGCTTTGCAGTAAAATACAGTAGAACCCTCAAATTTGGATAAAGGAACACAGAAACAATAAAACAAAACAGTTTAATACTTTTCCCTTAACACTTAAGTTTTAGTCAAACGGGCAGAATTTAGTAGGAGGTGATTAAGTGCTACTTGAAATTTAAGAACATTTTAATGAGAATTTTAAGTATTTTCAAGGACTTTGAAGGTTAGCAGAGCTGGCCCTTCATCGTACCATATGTCATTTAAAAACACGTTGCTGTATTTTTCCCCCACTGACCAACACTACTCTCATCATTCTTAACCATAATTGAGGTAGAGTTGCAATACTCATAAAGGAACAAAAGGAGAGAGAGAACAAAGGAGAGAAAAGAGGTTGGTTGGCATGAGTGTACCGAGAAATGTTGGAAGAGCAGGAGAAAGTATGGGGGAGTAAAGTAGGTAAATACAAGGTACAAGAAAGAAAACAGTTAATTTAACGAGGAGTTACGGTGATGACAAAGAAAACTACACACATACATTTCCTTAAGAGGAGACGAAAGGTGAAGAGATACCAAGTCAGAAATGCTGAAAGTTCGCCACCAGGTGGCGCCATGAAATTAAAATACCTCTGCAGAAAAGAGCAACCCTTAATAGGGGGTGAGCGGGAGAGAGTTACAAATCAGAGGGGCGGGACGGTCACAACGGCTCAGTGTTCGTGGCGCGCCAAGCCATAGTTCAGGACATATACCAAGTTATCCCAGGAACGCAAACTTGGTGTAATATTTAAAAAATCTATTCATTCAGTATGTTAACAAACAAAACAAAGCACACACATATGTTATCTCAGTATACACAGAAATTGCATTTGGTGAATTTTAAACATCTTTTTTATTAAAAAAAAAACTTAGCAAAATAAACATGTGTATATTTATATATGGAAGTTGCAATAACTGGATAAATTTTAAACATCTTTTTTATTTAAAAAACTCTTAGCAAAATAAATACTTATACATGTGTGTGTGTATGTGTATATATATATATTTATATATGGACGTTCCATTAACTGGATGAAGGTCATCTACCAAAACCTACAGCAAACACATGCGGCAAATGTTAGGAACATTCTTCTTAAATCAGAAATGACATGCACTGATTTTCAACATTGTACTGAAAGTTTCCGTCAAATCAATTCAGTAAGATAAGAAAAAGAAGTGAAAGTCCTAAGGACTGAGAAAACAGACTGAGAGCCGTCATTATTTGCAGAAGATGCCGATTTAGGCAGAAAGCCCAAAAGTCTTCACAAATTATGAAAAACTAAGATATAAGCAAGGTTCCTGAATATAGGGTCAGGAAACAAAAATCAACTTCATTTCTATACACAAATAGTTTTAAAACATAACTATTAAAAAGAGTAAAAATAAGATGCTTAATAATAAATCTAACCAAAGAAATATATGAAATCAATGCAAAAATTTAAACTTCACTGAAAAGCATTAAGGAATTCATAAATAAATGGAGAGATATCACATTTTCATGACGAAAAATTATGTACTTTTGTAATCATAATTTTTGTAGTTTTGTCCCAAGTGAATCTATTAATACATTTCTAACCAAAACGTGGTTTTTTCCCCCATATAATTTAAACTAATTCTAAAATTTATGTGGAAGAACAACAAAGGGTCAAAACTAGTCAGGAGTTTAATATCAAAACAAGGTGGAGAAACTCTGAAAGAAAACAGACAAAAAACAAAAACAAAAGTCATTTAAACGAAGAGGAGACAAGAAAGGTCCATAAATTTAAGAAAACTGAACAACATTGGTAACTAAGAAAGTACCAGTTAAAAAACACATTTTAAACCTATCAAACTGGCAGACCGAGAAGATTTACGGGTATGTTGTTTATGAAATAAAAAACACTGGAAACAAGCCACGTGTCCATCGTCAGAGGAAAGGATAAACTGTAGTGCATTCAGGCAACAGATACCCTCGCAGCAGTGAAAACAAATGAACCACAGCTGTGTTCAGCAAAATGGGCGTGTGTGTGTGTGCCCGCGCGTGTCTGATCAAAATAGATAAAGTTCATACACGTGCAAATGAAAGCATTCTATTGCTTATGGACACTAAGAGTAAAAATCAAAGAAAAAGATGATGTAATAGAGGAAGCATACCGGTGCCAAAGTTACCGGCAATGTACTGTTTTAGAAGCTGATACTGGAGTATTTATTATATGTATATACTGACATGTATCATGCTATGTAATATAATAATATATACTATTTATAATAATATATTTCTTTGTATTTCTCCTAAGCATGTTTCTTTCCCTAATCCTGTTTTTAAAACAATCTTTAGGTTTTAAATGTTTAAAACAGCAATTGATGGAGGAAAAATACTGCAATAGACAAGGAAGTTATAATTCTTTTTTCCAATTATCTTTGGTCTTTGAACCATTAGAATTTTGAAAGGTCTCAGAGAAATCATCTAGGTAGAAAAGTCAATCGCTCTAAGGAAACTGAGTAAAAGGAGTAACTGTGTTACTCCCAGTGTCGGACACCCTCAGCTCTAAATAAGTGGTTCTCAAAGTGCGGTCCCAGGACAGCAGTCCCAG